CTGAAGGATGGAGTTAATCACATAGACTAAATAATATAAAAAATACAGAGGGAGGGGGTGAACAACTGAAAGAGAACAAACTCCACATCAGACACTTGCTTACAAACAATTCCCAAGCATACTATTCAACAGCATACCTGTGCAACCCTCTGGAGGCAGCATTTAAAACTTGTGCATAAGAAGCAGGGCTTTGTTTAAGAGAAAGGCTGATCTCACGATTAACCTGAAAATGCAGAATGAATCCACCAATTGAAATATCACATTACACAAAATCCTCTCAAACAAATGCATCAAGAAATTTATAATGGAAAAAAGATAGAAACAGCCTACCTTATTCATAGACAGCTAAATAGAGATTCAATCGTACATTCAGTCTATATAATAAACACACATTTTCTCTCTACTACTGTGATATCAATAAAAAGCTACTTTTAAGTTTTTCTGCTTTTTTGAACTTAATTTTTTGAATTTAATGGCCACAGTAAAATTGGTTTTATGTGATAAAAGAATCAGAAAATCTGTTGTTAAAGAGAAGCAAGAAAGTCATGGTTTTCTTTATAATTATATTTTTTACGAAAATAATTATCACCAGTGCTGGTCAAAGTAGGTATCACACAGTCAAAATCAATAATGCACACAAGATGGGAAAAAGAAGGCTCACAAGTTTCCCAATAGCTTCATAGCTAGATGAAAGCAATCTAACCAATAAGTTGTTCTTTAGTTCTTGATTGGGCACAGAACCAAGGACCAGACTTATTGCATGCATAACTTCTTCCTCATCTTCCAAAGATAAATTCCACTTCTCTAAACCCTACAGCAACAAGATAACTTGAATGTTTAAAGGTGAATCCAGTTCAAAAGATATTTGAGAAAGATATCATATACCATGTACCAAAAGGATTCCATACACTGATCTGGAAAGTTAGAAATTGTATAAAAACTAAATCCATTGAATTCAATGTACATCAAGACGCTGAGCATCTCTAGCCACATCAATTTTGCATAGATGGTAACGCAAGTGTAAAAAATGTAGATAAAAAAAGATTTTAACAGAAATTCATGAACTTAAAACATGATATTATCATCCAGATATTATCATAAACAGAGTAACCCACCTCTCCTATCCACATTAAAATTTCCAAATTTGAAGGTTCATATATTACTACAGAAGCATCTTCACAGACTTTACGCAAGGCAGATGCACAAGCATTTGAAGACAGAGGTTCTGAAATCCCAATAGCAAGAAATAATCTGAAAGTAGAAAGGTTTGTAGCACATGAACATGTGATTATGGAATACTGAAAAATTTCCATCATCAATTACTTAACGAATTTTGTCAAAAGAATAATAAAATTAACCCATTAATCATGAATACCATGGAAAAATGGAGTTTTGTGGTGTACTCACAGCAAGGATCTAAAATTTTCCTTAAAAGAAGATATACACTTGGAACAAGAACCAACAGCATCTGCCAGAGATCTGTATACCTAAAAATAAAATTGCACTTTTGAATGGACATGAAAAGTGAGCAATACTGCGAATTTGAGGGAATGGAAGAGTGTATATAACATACAATGCAAATGAAACCCTTTAAGCCATCAGAAGGTTTAGTGGACAACATGGTCACCAACTGCATAACTACAGAGAAATCATAACTTTGGCCGTCCTGTATGATTACATCAGCCACCTGTAAAGAAAGTGTTGCCTTAAATAACATGGGTATAGCACAACGTATGACCCAGATTTTCAGTAAACAAAAGTGTCAGCACTGAGACCCAGATTTTATAACTTTAAAACATTGTTGCATGCCAGATCACCAGTCTGAATGATATAATTAACAGGCCAATAAAGAACCCCAAGTTAAAGCAGTAGGTGCCACTCACAGCATTAAGAGCAAATAGCTTGCTTTCCAGTTCCTTCCAAGCGATTGATAGATTTTGACATGCCCACCCACCAATAAAGAGCTGTAAATACAACTTGCATATTGAGGATTAACACTTTAATGACTAAATATATTGACATACATTAACTAGAATATAGCCTGAAACTGAGTAACACTATTTTCCATTCAAAAACTAAGATGAACAACTTTCCAGGAAAATAATTTGCAAATTTTCCACCGAAGTACACAGGCAACAGTAAAATTCAACACAACTAACTTTGAATCATAAAGATTAAAATGTGGATGAGTTAGATGATAGGATCCTGGTTTTGCTTTATTATTAGGTGGACATGCCACGAGAAGTTGGAAAGTAGAAGCAAAGAAGGAAGGAATATCCATGAAATAGCCAAGTCAGGAATGATAGAAATCTATCCACCAACTTGAGGGGGAGTACTGTGTAAAATATGAAGCAAGTGAATTGTTTCTTTTTCTATAAATTTAAATTCCTTCATTAGAATTGATTGGCCAAGGTTTCCTTACTTGTTGTAATCAGGTCTAATTTTGATGTGGAATAGCTTTATGATCAATGCTATACAACAGTGATCTTTGTTGTATTTTTTAATTATCAAAATTAATATTCATTTTTCCTCATTCCAATACAATCCAAATCTATTTTTGATTAACTGGTTCTTCAGCCTTGCTTTGCTTTCCTTGTTTGTTTGATCTAAGGAAACCATCCCCTTTTGCCTTTTCTTTCCTTCTATAGTGTCCTCCTTGTATCCAAAAAAAAAAAGCAAATATATTCTTCTGGGAATGATCAGGATATGTATCAACACCCTATTGGATCAGCTTCCCATAGTAAGCAAGCCTATAAAATTTCAAATTCAAATATTCCAAAAGTTTAAATGAAATCTTCATTTTTATCTGTCATTATTAGTAGTATCAATTCATATATAAAATTTCAAATTTAAATTCACGAAAAGTTTGAATGAAATTTTCACTTGTATCAATTGTTATCAGATATTAGTGGTTATCATTGTTATCAGATATTCAGATAACTGGTACCAAATAAAAGTGTAAGACATAAAACCAAGCACAGGAAACCAAGTCAAAAAAGAAAGAAAGGAAGTCCAACTTTCCAAAGCACCTTTTGCATAAAAGTAGCAGATCCTAACAGGTGACATATATCCACCAAAAGTTCTACTAGGTTCGTCCTGAAATGGATAAGCCCATCAGGCAAATCAACTACTCTTCCCTCATAATTGTATGTATAATCATCCACCTGTTAAGCACCCACCAGAGGGAAAGAAAAGGCAATTTACTCGAAAGACTAAATAAATATAGGGAAGCTAACAAAGGCAATTAACAAATAAGAGATGAACAATTAATATACGCACTTGAACAAAAATTATGCACACAAATAAGAATGAATATCATATTAAAGATTTGTTCCCCGTGAGTGGTAGGTTGATATTTTAAATGGGACAAATAATAGATCCAACATTCATAAAATTTAGACTACCAATTAGAAAAACCAATGGTTATGCAAATTCCCTTCACTCTTTTAATTAAAAAATGAACCAGTTTAAATATAATTTTTTAAAGTAGAAAGTTCCATGCCAGGAAATGCAAATATAATCCACCCCCACCCCCACCCCCAAGCCCAAAAAACAAAAACAGAAAAGTGAGCAACATTGAATTAGCCCATGCCATATTGGAAACATTCAAATAGATAGGAATAAACCTGAGAACGCAATAATAGTGAATCAAGTAATGTTGAGAACACAGGAGAAAAAATGTCATCCGCATGTTTTCTATTCTTGGCACCATCTTCAATGCCAAGTATATAGCTCGCAAGAGTGGACCTGTGACAATATATTTTGAGCTAAGGATAAGTGTGTCACTAAGACAACAAAGTGAGGATAAAAATAAAATAAAATTGAGAAGCTAAGAGGAACAGAAAGGCATCTAGTCTCTGCATATCAGCATATAAAATAACTAACACTGAAAAGTTTTTGGCAGAAAAAATCAGTAAGAACAGTCTCACAAATCCTAAACATTGCAAAAATCTTAGTATGCTTAATTGAAGTATATCACCAAAAAGTAATAGAAATACTTGTAGTAAATCAGATAGGAACTGGAATTTTCTATATAAATAATAGGAAAATTACAATAAAATAGTACAGGAAATTCAGAAACAGAAAACAGATCAAGAAATTATCAGAGAAGGGGACGTTCTCTGTAGGGAAGGCAAAACGGACCAGCCCGCCCTGTTTTGGCCCGCTCCGCCTTTGGCTCACCAAAAGCGGGCGGGGCGGGCTGGCCCGATATAGTCATGACGAGTTGTAGACCTTGACCCGTCCCGCCAAGGGCGGGTTGGCGGGCTGGCCCGCCATAATTTAGAAAAAATAATTTTTTTTAAATATATTTTTTAATAAATTTAATAATAAAATTATTATTTGTTTGTCAATAATTCAATATATATATATATATATTATTTCAATTTAATAATATAAATCAATACATTATTTTAAGAAATTATAATTTAGAACAATAATAAAATTTACATAATAATAAATAATAACAAATATATATATATATATAAATAACGTTAAACTTATAAAATTTATATTTTTTATATTGAAAAATTCAAATACCTATATCTTTTTTATTTGATAAAATTTCATATTATTCTTGGTTGAGTAATTCTTACACCATTAATTCAAGTAATAAGGATAAAAATAATCGAGTGCTTAGGATAAACAAGGAGAACAGGAGAGAATGTTATGTTTCGGGAAGGAGAATATTTTCTCGTGAGAATAAAACTTTTTTAATTCTCTTTTTAAAATTTTTAACTTTATATATTATCTTTATAATTAATTTTATTACAATAAAAAATTATTTTTTTATTAATTAGGCGGGCCACGGGCTGGCCCGTCCCGTCCCGCGGGTTGGCCCGACGGGTTGGCGGGCTTGGTGGGGCGGGCCAAAGCGGGCTGGTGGACTGAAAACACCAACCCGCCCCGCCATATTATGGCGGGCCGGCCCGCCGGGCCTAGCCCGTTTTGCCATCCCTAGTTCTCTGCCTTGTGGTGAGTTAGCAATAGACCCCCACAAACTACCCAAATGATTGCGTGCCTTTTCCACTATCCTTCATTCCACTCTTATTATCAATGATTCCATATCCTTTTCCCACTCTCCTGTTGCTTCCTGTCCTGTATGGTATTTAACAGGCTTCACCCCTCCATTTTACATGTCATTTCACAAGCTCTTTCTTCCCGAACTTTTCTTCCTACACCCTAACTAAAGTTTGAATTCCCTAAATTATTGTCTTCTTCACTCTCGTAATTATTTTTTCTATTTATTGATATCTCCCTATTACTAATCCAGAGTGCAACATGTACTTATTCTGGAAAATATGTTTGGAATAATATAAAATTGCTTTCTGATTAACAAATCAATTGATGCACCTCATGTTTAGAACATTGTGGAATTATTTTGGAATATATTCTTTATATTCCAGATTTGGGTACTGATTATTTGCATTCTGGCATGAACATTCCAGAATGTATTACTTATATCATATTCCAGTATAATTATTCCAGAATGTATGTTTAATATTCTGGAATAACCATTTCGGAATTCAATGTAGTTTATATTCCAAAATGTATTTTCTTATTTACCAGATTGGCCATTCAAGAATGTATTCTTTGTATTCTGAAGAAATCATTCTACAATTGGATGCATAATATTATTATTGAAATGTTTATTCCAAAATGTATTCTAATTCGTATAAATGTATTCCGAAATGGATATTCAAGAATATAAAAGATCATGATTATCCACTCTATAAGCAATAGGCATCCAATTTTGGAATGGTTCCATAATATAAAGAATACATTGGGAATTAGGGTGACACGGGTAATTTTTGGATTTGTTTTTTTTTAATAAAAAAAGGTGTAAGAATAGATTTGTGGAGTGTAGGTAGGAAAAATCGGCCCATTTCACATCCAATCGTTGTTCCTTTACCGCCTGGTATGTTTGATGCTGACCTTAGTTATAGGCTCATCAGAATTGTACAAAGATAGGAACACAAAACTATGGAAGAGTGAAATCATAAAAGTGGCTCACACTCTTTTGCACCAGTGAAAATGTTCAAGGTACAGTGAACATCAGGTGGATTGTAGATAGAGACTAATGGCAGTAAAACTTCAAGGCTTGAGCAATCAAGAGTTGGCATTTATAATATCAAGGGCTTCAAAAACGAATATGAAGATTGATGGTGGAGATGGGTGATTTTGGATTTCTTTATTAGATAAAAAGGGTGTAGGAAGAGATTTGTGGGGCGTAGGTAGGAAGAATTGGCCATTTCACATCCCACCATTGTTCTTTCACTGCCTGGTGTGTTTGATGTCGACCTTAGTAATGAGCTCATCAGAATTGTTCAACGATAGGAACACAAAACTATCGAAGAGTGAAATCATAAAAGTGGCTCACACTCCCTTGTGCACTAGTGCAAATGTTCAAGGTATAGTAGACTTTGGGTGGAGTGCAGGGAGACTATCGGCAATAAAAACATCAAGGTTTGAACAATCAAGAGTTGGCATTTTTAATATCAAGGATTTAAAAAACGAATATGTAATTTGATGTCACTGGGAAGATGATTAGTGGAAGCTCGCTGTAAAGAGTCATGGAAGAAAGGACATGCTGGTATTAACGTGTAGTGTGGAAGGATTTGTCAGTGGACATGACTGATTTAAGGTTTTGCTGCAAGAGACAAGATGAAACAGACTCTACTACCAACTTAAGAATTCTAAAAACAATCTGATATGGGATAAACCAACTCTGGACAATCCACACAAAGTCTCTACATCGCAATGATATTAATGACAGTGATTCAATCCTAGTACAGAATTATAATCCAATATTAAATAGATTGGTCCTAATTTATTCTACCACATATAAGACATGCTATATCTTGAATATACAAGATATTCTAACATGAACATTCCAAGATAAAAGAAAATGTTATATCTTAGATTATCAACATGAACAACAACTAAATATTTTAAATGCTTTGCAGAAAAAATGTCTCCAAATATCATAACCACAAAAAGATTCAAAAAAGACTGAGCACAAAGATAGAGCAACATAGAAATACCACACACATTAAATCTACAATCAACATGAATAGAGATCATTAAACTGAATAAACAAGAGGAAATTGCACTTGATACCGCTGAGGTTTTCTTATATTGCACACACAAACTCTAGTTACATCAGACACAAACCTACCCCATAGAATGTAGCATTCAGCATTCCTTGGAATGGAAAACCAAATCTGAAATATGCCCTCAAATTAAAAACATATAAACCTCTTCCTCATGTCTCAACCTAGCAAATGTAAACCAGTCCTTTCTTCTCTCTTTTTGCCATCCTCATTCTCTTATTCTCCTTTGTTTCAAGTCAAAGTCATTCTTGAGCAGCCAAATTTAAACTAAAGAAGAAAGAGGGACAGGATGGTACCTACTAATGAGATGGAAGTGAACTGGTGCCATGGTTGTTTTAATCAAAATATCATACATGTCAATATGCTTCATTACAAACTGGTATTTGTCAAAGTAAAGAAACAAAGAGTCTGCTACCAGAGACTGAATCACAGGGGATCACCCATAATTTAGGAAAGCGGTTGTCCTATAAAGATTTTTTTACTGTCAAGGCATGGAAACAGCCAATGAATTCAACACAACAAAGGTCAACACATGGTTGTGATTGATAAGTAAAGTAGCAACTGAAGAACAAAGATTCATTTTAGACTGTGAAAATCTGGACAAACTAAAAACTGCATGCATCACACCACTCATCCACAATCTGGTATCATTTTTGGAAATTATTAGACCCATTAACCAAACCATGGCTTGAATTCCTACAACCTTAGCTTCTGGTTTACCTCATTTGTAGCTTCTTCAATTTTGCCACCACTAGAGCACATGTGCACACTTTTATTTACAAATTTTGCAGGGCAAGCAAAAACACTGCTACCAAGTGGAACAGGATCATTTTAATACTCATATATCACAAAATCATTGGTGAAAGTTCCCAAATCTGTTATCAGTTTTACTTTCAGAGAATCAATGTGGAGAAGAGAGACAATGCAGAGAGTGACAAGAGGGTATAATGGTCACTGTGGCAAGGTCAACAACTCCCACTTAATGGACATGAGCTCGAGGGGTATCAGGCATAACCTGATCCCAAGACAAGGGGTAGTGAGTGTTCTTTGACAAACTAGAGTTGGGGGGGGGGGGTGCATAAGAAAACCTCAAGGATAACCTAGCATGATTTTCCCAAATAAACAAGTTGTAAAGCGTTCATAAAAAATCGCATTACCAAAACTGCAGTGTTGAGTCTGCAACCTCCCAATCTTCACTTGGAAATGCCACGCAGCTGTTAGCATATTCAACAGTTTAATCTCAACACTAACCAAATCTATAATAATGTTATATACAAGCAAGCTGACTAACATTTGTAGCGTGTATATAGTTCTGTTTAGATAGAGGACATCTTAGACCCATAAATACACTGCATGAAGAGTTCCCATTCAACGATTATGTTGAATAGGACATATGTAATAAACCCAAAATCCTTGATTTCTTCAAAACCAAAAAGGAGCAAAAGCCTTAAGCAATTAAAAATTCTAATCAGATTGTTGAGATTACCTCAAGAGGGCATCTATAAGGGCTAGGGCTTCTGCACTTGCTTCAACAATTAGAGACGGAGCCTAGCAATATTTAACAAGTTGACAAGGTAAATGAGACATGAATTGTTTTGGTTTGCACATAACAACGGAAAAATTAAATGAATGACATTAAGTTAGTAACCATATGGAATAGATCCATTCTCATATATCCAACATGTAACATGAAACAAACGCTAGTCATCATTAGTATGAATTTACATTAACTAAGCCATTCAAACACACAAGTAGACAGCACATAGAAAGGTGTCCGCAGCAAGGATTTTGGAAATCCTAGAGAACTCATACTTACAGCTTGCCCAATTTCTGACAACAAGCAAGCAAGGCCACCAATTACTTTCATGTCTCCCCTAGAAAGAGCTGGAAAAAGAAGTGCTTCCTTCAGATACTGTACCCTGCATAACAAAATTTGCGGCACTCCCTAAAGAAAACCCAAATCAAAATCAATAAATTACCCATTTAGAAGCATTATGCATGGCAATACAAGGTGAGGAAAAAACACTAGTAGTTTAACTTAGTAAACTGTACAAATTCACCCCAAATGTATGTAGAAAACTTTAGACACATAAATCCAGAAAAGTTCTAGCCTCCTGCAATAATAATAGTACTAAAAAAATCATTGTTTCTGTCAGTACATATAACCAATGGCATAAAGCAAGCATAGTGGGAACATAATTTTGAAATATACAGCTAGCGAAACTGAAAGGTGGCAAGCGGGTGGGAAGAGTAATTCAGAAAAACATGAAAAAAAGTCAATTGTCTCAACCAGAGGTATTTGTTTTAGCTTTGTAAAAGAAAATCCAACTTGCTGCTCAAACTACATAATTTTTTACTCCTGACATATTTTTAGCTATTTGAGCTAAAATTTGAGCTAAAATAACAGTTAAATATACAAATAAAACAGGGTCTATAGTCCAACTGACTGCCTTATATTATATATTTTATATGCTTTCTTTAAAGTCTAACTCAATAAAGAAAGAAAAGGGCAAAGAAGTAGGACTCTACAAGCTTCCCATTTATGACAGCCCGTTTATGAGAGGCACAGAAAGATGGAATGATAGAGAGAGACAAAATATGAGACTGACCCAAAAACATTTCCAAGAAACTAAGGATAAGCATCTGAAACGTGTCAACTATGTGCCATAATTAGCTAAATCCAATTTTAAACTCTAGCTGTGCTGTATCGATTATTTTATAGACCATCATCAGTTTTTAAAGTTTAGTCCATAATATTGCTATTGCACCAGTCATGCTTATGCAGCTAATTTCTAAGCATGATACACAAGGTATGTATTATTTCTAGCCAGGTGTCTATCACTGCTCTTTCTTTAATTTCTAATATAATTTCCTCAATTTAAAGCATCTCCTAGACTTGTTCTCCTGACTCTACATCATTTATTAATTTGTCTTTCAGGAATTCGCTGTAAGAACCTTCATAACACAACTTCCAATATATAATTAAAAAACTGTAAAACTAACCCTCAATGGTCAAATTAAGCTTGCTAAACCACCCCTAGCATAAGAAGCCTCTCTAAATAACCATCAATTCAGCTGATAGGTTGGACCTAGGCTATCCTTAACCCTAGACAAGAAACAATTTAGGTGTTTCACTGTTCTATTTGAATATTTTAGACCAACCACACATCCATCCTGGAATATAAATAGTACGAGAGCATAGCTTTAAACATCAAAAGATACAGTATAGTTACATGTGATTTTGAGGACCTAACAACTCTAAAATCTAGTATAAAACTTTTAGTCTAGAACATATCATAAAAACTAAGAGGATGAGAAAGTACATCAAGGACATACTAGTAGACCAGTAATAAATTGACATCTTTAAAATAATTACAGACATGTACACTTAAGCCAAAGAGATCAATACTTATGAGTATGAAAGATGTTCTAACAAATTGGGCAAAACCTTACCTCGTGTTTGGTCACAAGTTCAACAAGAACTTCAATGGCTAGATCAAATGATAAAGGAACCTACACAGAGGAAGCGATAAAAACTAATCTTAGTATGAATGATTATCTTAAGAATTAAGTGCATCAGAAATGGAATACCTGTAATGAGGTGAACACAAAATTTAGAAGTGGGTGAGCTGGCAATGTTCCTGGAGATATCTCAGAGAAGCAACCTGCTTTAACCTGAACACATGGAGAAAATATTAGAATAAGCTCGAGACAAAAGAAAGTTTTTTATGAAGCTCGAAAAGATGAATATTCATCTTCAAGTAAGACAGAAGAAAATCAAAGCAAAAGATGTCTTGTCCATATAACCATGATTAAAATAGCGCAACTTATGGCAAAAATGCAAAATCAAATGAGTCCGAGGTATAATGGCGCACCCAACTCAATAAGCAGCGTAGAATTTTCCTGTTCCTTTCGTGTTGTTGCATAGAACCATCAAAATTTAATTCAGACTGCTGAAGCAAGAACTCAAGAACCATAGGAGTATGGGAGAGAAGCTGTAAAGCAAACATAAAAGAGTGCCGAAAGTCAGTAAAAGAGAAAGGATGCACACATAAAAACATGGGATAGATAAATGTATCAAAGCAAAAGCTTCTATACCTCTTGGGTATAGTGGCTTTTGTGTAATGAACTAATTTTAGAATCGGTACGCTGGTTGTCAACAACTTCCTCTGGGAGGACAGTAAGCATTTCAAGGACAGCAATATTGCCATCATCCTGGCTCTGCAGATTCCGTAGACTGTAAAATAGCTGCTCAATTGGGTTTCCATGTGCAGCAACTTGAAGTACAAGAGCAGAGAGGGCAAGACAGATCTGTGTCAAAAGCTGACAGGATAATAACAAAGAACAAGTTGAAATCAAACTATTCATAACACGAACCATTCCAAAAAACAGTAAACGTATACATAAAACCTCCCTTGAAATGAGTATCAGCATAATAAATAAAATAAAAAAGAAAAAAGAAAAGGAAAACAATGCACCTGAGGTGGACCAGTACTGAATCTCTTAACTGCAAGAAGAAGAGCATTTAACAAAGCATCCTTGACTCCTAATTGCAGTAGATAACCTTCATTTTGTATCTGTAATTTGAACCACGTAACAATCATCAATTCGATTACCTAACTGAACCACTCGAGTTCACAATCCACAATAAACACACAACACAGCGATAACTAAGTAAAAGCGGAAACCTCAATTTACGAAATCCATAAGCATCAAACAGAAGCAGATTTTAGAGAGAGAGAGAGAGGACCTTGCGTTTCAGAATCTGCGCGGCAAAGAACTCGACCTCAAAATTGGAAGCTAGGGGGAGGCGGCGATCGGCGGTGAGGATGGCGGTGGCGACGTCCCAGGCGGCGTGGGTCTGCTGGAACTGAACGAGCCACTGATTGGCTGCGACGCGGTTGCAGGATTGGGTATCGTGGTTGAGCACATGGACGGCCTCGGCCACCTTCATTGCCAGTTCCATGACCTCCTTCGCCTTTGAATTTTTGATTGCTTTGTAGAGAAAATCAAGGGAAAAGGAAAGAGAAAATGATTTTAGAAAAATGAAATTGGGAAAAAGGAGGAAGAAAAGGAGGGTGCTGATGAGGATGCGACGCCTGTAACAACTGCAACGGATTCAGTTAACCGTTGTTTTCCTTTCATCGGACGGCTACGGGCTATGAGGGAGTGACAGAGCAGTGAGAGACGGGTGAGGGTTTGGCTCTGCTCCTCTGCATCCCACCATACGCCAACTCCTCTATTTTATAGATTCTTTTCCCCATTCCCCACTCGCATCCAACTTCCACTACCTCTCTATCCCCATCTTAGGTTTAATCCTACGGTTCCCTTCGCTACTCTCATATAAAGTTATTCATATTTTATATTTGAAGACAAATGAAAAAGGTAATTTTAGAAAATACCACCTTCGTTTACACTCTTTTATTATTTTTTTCTTTATATACGAATAAAAAGTAAAATATGTACAATACAGTGGAAAGTTTTCTTTAATATTAAATAAAGAACATATTTTTTCTTTATATTTAATACCTTATGCTTGTAATTTTTCCTTGAAATGAACGGACCTTAGGAGACATTTTACATAAAATAATTCAAGAAATTTTTTTTAACTTATTTGAAAGAGTTGTGTAGATAATGTATTATAATTATCTTCTATCATTTTCTCCAATACTTTAAAGTGGAGGTCATGAAAGTAAACAAGTTAAAAGATCTTAATTCAAGTCATGTTATTTTTAATTATCCAAAAAATTACTAAGGAATAATAAAATTAAAAGATAGAAAAATATTTATCTAACCATGACTAATTGACATAAATTCATGCAAGTAGTTGACATTGTAAAATAAAGTAGTGTGCTATGAATGTAATCAAGCTTGCTTTTATTTATTTTCCCATCTATAAGAAAGACTAGTTGGATAGGAAAACTTTCAAATAAGTCCATCACCAGGGAGGAAAGTAGAAAAAGATTTCTCACAAATTTTGAATATAAATAGATAAGTCAACTTAAAAAAGTTTGCTCAAATGAAGTGAGAATCTTTATTAGAAGTATTTGCATGCTTTCAAGATTTGTTAGGAAGGTACCACATCATGAATTTGCATAAGTACAACTTGTTGCACAAAATTGAATTATTATTGATGTTGCTTTGAGAAATACTATTATGAAAAATAGGTAAAAGAATTACTTTATATTTTTTTAATATTTAGTCTCTAATAATTATCCAATCACTAATAAAAGATATTATGAAGATAATATGTGATATAAATCAAAATAATAAAAGTACCTCTAAAATTAAGAGTAATATGAATGTTTTGACTTGATAAATAAAAATGATTATGAAGATATAATCATAATTAACTTCACTTTTAGTTATTTGTAGTAATGTGGTCATGTTTATCATCATTAGTGTGTCAAGTATTATCTCAGGACTCAACAACAATTTTTTTCTACACATTAGATAAGTTCCTATCATTTTAAAAGTTTTCTAAATTTTAATTATTATTAAAATTGAGTTCAGACTTACATAAAGATTTAGTACTTTATCATAGACCAAAAAATTATAACTATTAGTTAGAATTTCTACTTAAGAGTATAACAATCCAAATGATATGATTTGATTGTTACTTAATCTACTTGACTTCTATTATGAGATAATTGATGCAACTCACACTAATCTTCCCCTCAAAAATTGTTTTATTAGGAATCAAATGTGAGTGTGACCTAGCTTATGTAACCTGTATTATGAAAGAATTGGTGCAATTTACAATAACCTCCCTCTTAATACTTGTTACATGACTCAAATACTAATTCTTTGATTGAGTGTTTACTAATAATCATAAAGTTATAACTACTAGAAATAATATAATTCTTTTTACTTAAAAGTTAGCAATCCAAATACCATGATTTAGTTATATTTGACCCACATGATTTTTGTCGTTATGGGATAATTAATCCAAACCACAACAATTTTTCAATTCTTAAATAAAAATTTGAATTTGAGTTTAAGTTTAAGAATGAAGTTTAATTTTTTGTTACAAGGAACAAAAAATGTCTAAAATGATTTGGTGACAAAACAATAATGTTTTTAAAAGAAAAGAGAAAACACAAAAGTGGTTTTAAGATTTGGAAACAAAAGTTTCAAAAATCCCTTGCCCATGAAAACATTTGACCAAATTGGATTGACCATAATTGTGAGTTTTGCCATATTGATAACTTGATTGCTTTGGCTAATTTTCATTAATAGCCTTAGGGTGATTCTTGTAGTAAATATAGTTTGATTAGTTTTACCATTTTTTCTTTTCCTTTTAATTATCTTATTTTGTATTTTCACCATCTTATTCTCTTTAATTTAGCTTCTCTTCTTTTAGAATTTTTGTTTATCTTCTAAATTTCAAAAAGGTTTTGTTTTTCTTTTTAAGAAAAAGTCTACAAGTATTATGTGATTTTCCCTTTTATATGTTAATTTTCTCCCTTTTCACTTGAATTATTTTCTTGATATGATACTTTAAAAAGGTTTAAAAATTCTCAAAGATTTTATTGAGTGAGAATGAACCAAACCTTTTATATCATAAAATTAGAGTGAAAGTCTAATTACTTGAAGAGTAAACACTTAGAAGAATTGTGAGTTTTTTTACTCTAACCAAAAACATATTTTGTTTATTTGCATTTTGTTTCCTCTTAATATTTGTTTTTGTAGAAATGTATTCCAAAAATTCTTCTCCATTTAAAGAGAAACCGAAATGGTGACACTAATAAATGATATGTAAAAAAAATGAACAATACGTGAAAATTGATCGGAGATAGGAGATAAGGATACTTAAGAAAGAGAATAGAGAAGAGAGAAAATAAAAGAGAATGAGAAGATAAGATAGAAAGAAGATAAGAATATAAAAAAAAAAACTCATCCCTTTTATGAATGTGATAAAGACCTTGAGGAGCATAATGCAAAGGAATATCAATTCCAAACACCAAGAGTAAAATGTGGAAGACTTTATATCAAGAAAAAAAAAATCCTAAATATAATACAAAAAAACCCTAAAGTTAATGAAAATTTTAATAGGAAAATGTATATTGGATGGCTGGGAAAGAAAATTTGAACAAGTCTTTCATGTTTATAGACTTTGTGAGTTATAAACATGGTCATATTAACAACTTAGAGCTTGAAGGACATGCTTTAATACCATGGAACCAAATCTTAAATGGTATAGCTAAAATTAAGAAAGACTCTGACAATTATCACCAAGTATGCACTCAAAGCTTACTTAAGAGAGAGTTTTGTACCTTCGAGTTGACCATTAAATGCCAAAGGTTAAGACACAAGAAAGTATAAGTGTGAATGAATATTACAAGAAAATGAAAGTTTTACATGGAAACTATAATAATAAGGTTCTTAAATGATTTTCATCCTGACATTGAAGACATATTAGAAATTCAAGAACATAAATTTTTAGAGAACTTGTTCATCAAGCTACCAAGTTGAAATTACAACTTAAGAATATAAATTATTTCAAAAGACAAAGTTCAAGCTATACTCCATTGAATGATAAAGTAAAATCAAGATATGAGGTGTCTTCTTCCAAGGATCAAAGTATGTTTTTTTTTTCTTCTAAGCATTTGTAAACACCATATTCTTCATCTAAACATTTAAATATCAATACACCAACTTATTCTACATCATTTTTTTCCAAATCCAAGAAAAATAGGTAGCATAAAATGTTTAAAATGTTTGGATTATAAACATATTGCTTCATCCCATATCATGATGTAGTCTACCAATAGCTCCACCATCATTCTTGATTCTATCATCTTGAACCAATGCAATTTTTCCTTAATAAAAGTATGTGTAAGGTATTTTTTCATATTCAATGACTCAAGCTCTCTTCATATTGTTGCCCCAACTCTCTTATGTGAACTTTCCTTGGTGTCTTATCACCAAGACAAAATTATGATACTCCTAGCTTTGTTAACCATATCAGTCTTCTTCTCTATTAAAGAAGGTAACAGGTTAGTCCCACCTTTTTTTTCACTTTAACACACTTTCTCATATCTAGATAACTTCCTTCTTGATCTTCCATAGTCCAAAGTCATTTTCTCCTCAGAACTTCTCCATATCAAACATAATGACCATCTTTTCAAACTTCTTAACTAAGATTACACAAAGAATACATTTGACAGACCATATTTCATGATTATCCATAGGTGCTATATATATATATATATAATCAACTAATAGAAAAATTTAAAAGAGATTTATAAGTAGTTTGGTAGATTGTTTGATGCCATTGTATGGTCTAACCACCAATCTAGTAGAAGGGTCATCAAAAGTTCAATGCTCCATCTACTGTCTAACTCTCTTACAGTCTAATAATCATCTAACACCCTATATAGTTTGATTTTGGAATCTAATTATGGAGTTATCACATTGTCCATGTGCATTTTCATACTTTAAGCATGAAGTGGTGTATGTTTCTGACCTTTTTTTTTTGTGTTTCTTTGTTACATTTGTTGGTTAAGATTAAGATGATGAAAAAAATACATTATTTTTAGGATGTGGGATCAAGCTAATGCTATTATTTCATAAGTTTGGTTAATATTTAATAATGTTTTTATTGTTATCAGTTAATAATAAAAAATAATAAATTCACATATTTTTAAGTTTGAGAACTAATATATTTTTAAGTAAAAGGGCTAAATCTATGTTTGACGGAAAAATATAAGGATTCAATGTTTGACGAAAAGGGAGTTGAATTAAACTTTTAAATTTCTAAGGATGTCACGAACAAAATTTTCACAGAACAATAGATTTTAACTAGATTAACTATATATCAATAATGTTAATTGTAGATACACCAATAATATAATGAAAGATATAAAATGCAAGATAAGAAAAACGAGCAATACATACAAGAATTAAATTGGTTCACCCTTAATTAAGAGTTACATCCAATTCTCTTGGCAGACTAACTAAACTTATCACTAACTTTCATTGAAAGCATAGGAACATCAACTTATAAACACAACTAAGAAAGAACATTATAAAAGAACTTACTAATAACAAAACTTTTCTCTCTTAGCAAATTTTCTTCTTTCAGGTAAACTTGAGAGGATGAGTCTTTTGAAGAGCTTGTTAACATATAATAAACTTAACTGATTTTATAAAAAATTTTCTTAACAAACTTAATGAATGTTTTAAACTCATTTTCCAATAAATCTTTCACTCGTACATTCTCCATGGTCTCTACTGGACCATATATCTTGACGCGAGAAGAATTTTGATTACTTATATTTTCATAAATCATGTGGAAGACACTATGAATAATCTTGAAATGGTAGAATCATCAAATATAAAATCATGTAGACAAAACTCCATGAAGTCAAAGTATCAAACCCTAATATTAATCAACAGGTTCAACAGGTTAAATATCCCATTTCTAATACTGTGATTTCCACTACCTCAATAACTTTTCCCACACGAGACACGATTTCCTTCCCAACCACATGTAAACGTCAATTTAAGGAAACCTCTAGGAAGTATTAATTTTTCAATTTTTTATTAATAACATAAAGAAGATAATGTCATCATTAAAAAAATTATTTATTAAAAATATAAGAGAATGACTGATTATTGGAATAAATTATGAATTGAAAGTAAAGTCCATTGTCAATGTAAAAAAATTGTTTTTATTTTAAAATAAAAAAATTATTTACTTGTCAAGAGTAAGTATAATTTTTTTTTCTAATTAAAATAATTTAGTTTGGGATTGAAGGTGTATGCGGATTCCACTATACAATTTGGCTATAAGGAAAATCTCTTAAAGCATTTTTAATGAGATTGTTTATTGAAATAGAAAAGTAAAACATTAATTGCTTCAGCTAAATTTTTTATTGAAAATATCTTATTTCATATCATAAGTTATTTATAAGTTTTCGTTAGTTATTTAATCAAACAACTTAATAAATAAATAAAATAAGTGTTTGAAAATAAAAAAATAATTTTTTTAATTTTTAAAAAAATTTCAGTTGAAATAAAATTAATGATAAGTTATTTAAATATGATATGATTTAGTAAATTTATATTTTACATTTTTCTAATTAGAAATATACCCTTATATACCCAATCTCATAAATACATAAAATTGAAAACTCAACCTAAAACCCTCAAACATTGACTATTATGTAATTAACATAAAAAAAAACTCTCTTGAAATCCTAATATGACATATTTGTGTAAAACATATTAAATTATCCATCAATTATTAAGACTATCGATTGTGGGTGTTAAATTATATATTGTTCCACTTAATAATGTGATTACAAGTTTATTTTATCGGCCGAGTTTTATTTTTTTTATTCTTTTTAAAAAATATTATTGTATAAATTGTATATTATTTGATTAAGATTTGTTATAATTGTAAAATATTTTAGTTTTTTGATACATATATTTTGTATTTTATAAATAGATTGTATATATTTTATTTCATTTCAGATAATGAATATGTTTCAGTTTATATTTTTTTAAGTTTGTGTGAGAGTTGTGACTATCCTTTAGATCTTGAATCTTTTGAAATCTCCAAATAAAGGAAAGGGAATTTGATACACCTTGAATGAAATCAATTCATTTTATTGTTCTAACTTAAGGAGTTTTTAATATTCTTTCAAAAGTATGTTATAATGACAGAAAGGAAATACAAATGATGGAATTGAAAAAAAAAGGTATTTTTTGTCAAACAAAATAAAAAAAGAATTTACACTAGAAACAATTATGAATAATCATAGTAAGATTATTAATACTTTTAATAATATATGGATTATAGATATTGGAATTATAAATCATATGATATTTGATTATAGTAAGGTCACTAAATTTAAATCATTTATACAAAATTATGTTTTTACTGCAAATGGAAATAAAGCACAAATTAATGAGGAGGATCTTTAAACTTTACTAATACTTTAAATCTTGATTATATCTTTATTTTTCATTCTTTAAATTTTAATCTTGTTTCTATTTCTCATACTATAAGTGATTTATCTTGTGTGATAATTTTTTATTCTAACTCTTGTGTTCTTAAATATATCAAAACAAAATAATGAATTGGTTATAGTATTTGGAGAATAAACTTATATTACCTAAATCTTTCAAAAAGATTTGATGAATCATTACAAGCACTGCTAACTTTAAAGGAGAAAAAAGAATCTAAAATC